GGGGGGGGGGGGGGGGGGGGGGGGGCGAGATGCGGCTCAGCGGTGGAGGGCCAGAGGAGGAAGATAGCGCAGGAGAGGAAGAGAAGATGACAATGATAAGAGAAGAAGAGACAAATAGAACTTGAAGGAAGTAACAACAGCAACGTTGTCGGCGTGAGAGATTGAAAGAGACACGAGTTGAGGGCACGGGATAAGAGCAGTTGCGTAAACAAATCCTCTCCGGGCGCGGGCCGCGGGGTTTGAACCGCAACCACGTTTAATAGAAAATTTTTACGACTTAGGCATAACGTAGCACCGACGCCGAAACCAAACGCCTCCTCTGACGTTTTCAAAACGCACTGCAACAAATAAACTGCTCCAAACAGACCCTTAATTGACATAGAATTAGTTTATGAGCATAGCTTAATCTTAACATATAATAAAAAAGTTTAATATATGAGAGTGGATTGAAATGTAATGGCTAGAGACCACTGATGGCAGTTGGCCGTGGCAATGATCGACAACAATAGGCAATGGTTGTCGGTGTGGCCGTGGGTCGAGAATATGAGATCATGGGATTTGAGTTGTCCTATATTTGGAATTTGCCTATTTTGTGCAAATCTAAAATTTGTCAACAATAGACATTCTTGAGTATTCAAAATTTCTTACACAATTGCTTTATATTTGGTTTGCTTCAAGCTAAACATAAAAAAGTACTCCATACCTTTTACTTTACACTCTTAAATTTATCTATCAAACAATCCCCGAGTCACCTCATGATTTGTTAACTTCAATAACACTTGAATTTTATTGTGTAATTGAAAAAAGAAAAGTAAATATACTTTGCAGAAACCATGGTAGAACTTATTTATGATATTTAAGCTTTATTAATATATTAATTAATTTATGACTTTGCTGCTTTTTTTTCTCAAGTAAAATGCTGGAGAGAATTGGGGTATCACAAAGCTTGGTACTTGAAAGGCCATTTTCGCCCTATCCGGTCCAGCAATTATATTTGAATAGTGATTGGCATATCCTATTTAATAGAGGCAAGGTTTCTTTTGCTTCTTGGAATGGAACTTTGCTGGCTTCAAATTTGCAGTCTTCTAGCAGACAGTCAAATTCAGGATTTGCTATATTTTCTCCTAAATTTTTAAATCGTCATGGATGGCTGCTTTGGCGATCACACGACAAGAATGATGGTTTTGATTCTAAAGGAACAATTAATACAAAAGAGATTGGTGAAATTATTGGTATCAGTTCTGACGAAAACAATGGAAATATTGAATGGGGCTATGGAAGTTTTCCTCTAGAAGAATATTTGAAGGCACTTGAACGATCTAAAGGAGAGTTGTATTATAACCATTCCCTTGGAATGCAATATAGCAAGGTACATTTATCATGAATTCTCTTCCGCTAGCATGATTTTGGATTTCATGTAAGTTTTTTTTTCTAGCAGGAAATTGGCATTACCTTTTTCAAATGTTCTCATGATTAGTTAATATGTATTGTTGGTAGCTAAGCACTATATTTCTCCATAATATGATTCCTTTGATGCTTTTATCCAGAAAATATTTTGTCGTCCTTTTTATAATTTCTCTTTTTCCAGCTAAATCTTATCTGAGTAGTTATTCTATTTATGAGAAGAGGATTTTCAACATCTGAAATATATACTTTGTTAAATTGAAATTTAGGAAGAAAAAATATTTGTGGGATGTCATGTATGCATTAATACTTGTTTGCAAGTATATTTCGATTTATAAGTTGTGGCTGTTTCTTCTCGTAATTTAAAAATAAGAGGTGCAGTGAACTCAGGAATAACTTTTTTCATGAAAAGGAAAACTGTGATTATTAAGTTCTTATATGCTTATGAAGACTTTGTTTTGGTTTTAAGTTCTTTATGTTTTTGGCGATGGCATATTGAGAATTATCAAGAAATTATTTTCCTTATGTCTTGTTCTACTTCACAGAATTCAATTGAAATGTCTTTCTAAGCTCAAATTTTAGCTGAAGGAAAATTTCTTAGACTATTGTTTTTGGATTTTAGCAATGGATCTGGCACTTGAAACTTATTTTACATCCAAGCAATAATTTTATCACTTGAAGCTTCATATTGATATGTATTCTTTTGGTTTTCTTGAGCATGGTCAGAGAAATTTACTATATTATAATATAATTCCATTAAAACTTTGATTTAATCTTTTTTATTTTGTCCGAAATTTTCCTACTTTTCCAAGTAGATATATATATTTGAGACTTGCAGTATTCTGGGCACCACGCAAACCTTATCTCATGCATGGAAATATAAAATATCATGTATAGACTGCTATCATTTTTGAACATTAGGATTTCTCATTCTCAACATGCTACTATTCATTCTCTTGGAAAGGCTGATATTTATAACAAATTACAAGTAATTAATTAAATATGAGATTGGCAATTGATGAAGGAAAATGAGTTCCTTCAAATCTCAACCATTTAAAGATGTTGATGGATGGGAGAAGATGGATGAGAATAATAGCTTCTATCCCTTTAAACTAATAGTAACCTCTCTCGTTCTTTGAGTAAATTGCTCATTATTTGTTTAATTTGAATTTTTTTTTTCGTTTTTCCAGATTACTGAGCAGATATACGTTGGATCATGCATACAATCAGAAAGTGATGTGCATAAATTATCAAATATGGTATATTTACCTACTTTTAGTAACATATATTTTTGTTTATTCTTTTATTAAAGTGATCTCTTTGCTAAATTGTAAGAGTAAATGAATAACATGCTATATATATTGCACAATAACTGGAATCTTAGTTATATGCATATTATGTACAATGTGGATGCGTGCATATGCATGCTAAGCCCAAGTTTTTTTTTAGATTTTTATTTCCTTGTATTCTCATAATATTGATTGAAATGTTCTATGCTCTTACTTGCTGGTTGCCTTTTCATGACATAAACCTGTACTGACTATTTTTCCTTGTCATAAACTTTTTAGGAAGATTTTTTACTTTTGATGTTAGGAAATCACGCCTTATCAAATTCATTGCTAGATATTGAATCTCAGAGAAAATTTTATGGAAGTGATTTTCAGGCTGTGTTCTTACAAATCTTATTGTGAGACTCCCAAAATGTAGTGAAATACAGCCCTTAAATATCGAAGTTAATTTTGATGTAATAGTTGGAGTTCTTATTTTATGCTTTCTCATGTTGGGGCAGTCCTAGGATGATTGATATTCCTAAAAAAATAGAAAAATATGAAAAAATAACGAGGACTATTAGAGAACAATATATCTATTAATAATTGTTTGTGATGCTAATGTCCCTTGTGGCTCCTCTGCTTGCCATTGTTTCACAGTATTTTTCTCTCTCTCTCTCTCTTTTCATCTGCTTGCTTTCGTCGCCTTTCTCACATGGTAATTGCTTTCACGCCAAACTGTTGCACTTCTATCGAAAAATGTCATCTGCCTCTAATGCCTGCTAATTGCTACAATCCTGCTATCTATTATTGTTCAACAATCTGCGTATTACTACGGTCCTGGACTTCCTTTGCTGTGTGGTCTTAGAGTTCTCTAGTTTTTATTTTCATGCATTTTTTCCCTTCTTATTTTACTAAGTTCTTAAGTACAAATTAGAAATTTGACTTTTATGGAAGGTTTATAATTGTTGAATTTATGATCTAATTTAAACATGATGTTTGATTGGACCTTGATCAAATTGGCGAGTTTTTTTTTTACTTTTGCTCTTTTGTAGGCTATAAACACTGAGTTTTTCAAAATTAAATGAACATTGAGTTGGAAATGACATTCTGGTTTTCTCTTTATATGTTCGCTTTTGGATATCTATTCTTAGAGCAATTCACAAGTGTGGACAACTATTTTTTGAGCTAGACTCATTGTACTAGCGTGCGGTCTAATTCTTTTTGTGGGGGGTGATACCGGAGTTAACTCAAAATACAACAGAATAAGACGTTTAATGCTGAAATTCAAAAGATGATACAGAAAGACACCTGAAAATAGGAAAACAATGATATAAACACAAGTATTAGGGTCTGGGACGAGGTGGTGTGCTAGGGTTTGATGGGAATTAGATGTTACGGGGGATTGTACGGTGGAAGGACAGCAAGCAGGGAACTGGTTGCATGGGTGGGGTAGGTGGAGAGAGGAGGGTTGGCTGTTGGGTATCAGAAGGGAGGTAGGAGGACTGGTTGGATTATTGGGCGGAGGTGAGAGGGGAAGTGCAACTGGACTGTGGGGTAAGGAGAGTTGCGGCTAGTTTGTACAGGGGAGGATAGGTTTTAGCGACAGTCTACAGGAAGGCTGGGTGGTCTGGCGACAGTAAATAGAGAGGGGGAAGGTGTTATGGTAACCTGCAAAGGGCTGGCAACATCAGACAATATGGTGGGAGGGGGTTCCAATAGCGAAGGCGACAACAAGCAACAAATGAAAGATGCACACTACCTCGGGACGAGTTACAGACGGAGCACCTTCTCCCAATCGGATACAACCCTAGAAGGAAAAACAATTACTAACAGCAGTTCAGACAAATTTCAAAGCAAAAACTAACCCGAAAACAAAAAATAATAAATATATATAGTATATAATTATGAGAGGGGGGACCCTCCCCTTGGGAGACAACCCTAGCCCATCATCACGAATCAGCTGACCCTGGTCCCCTCATGGCTGAACTAGTTCCGATGAGGAAGGCTGGGTGGTCTGGCGACAGTAAATAGAGAGGGGGAGCTTGACAGAATTATTTTTAGTTATTTAAAGTATATGTTAGCTGTTTTTGAGGTGATTTAGAACACATGTTTTGAGGTGATTTGGAGGATTTTTCGCTGCAGTTTTCTGGGAGTCTTTTAATGTACCGTTTCGGGATGGTTTATCATTGTTTTGGAGGATTTTGTGTTCTATTTAAATGCTGTTTGAGATTGCCAATCACTGTAGGAGTGCTGCGAGGTGCTAAAGTTAATAATTTGGAGTGTCATAGGTGCTGTAGGAGTGCTGCGAGGTGCTGAATTTAATAGTTTCTGTGCCATAGGTGCTGTAGGAGTGCTGCGAGGTGCTGAATTTGATCGTTTCTGTGCCATAGGTGCTGTTGGAAGCATAGAAAAGCTGCGAGGTGCTGAATTTGATAGTTTCTGTTTCATAGGTGCTGTAGGAGTGCTGCCAGGTGCTGACATTGATAGTTTCTGTGCCATAGGTGCTGTAGGAGTGCTGCGAGGTGCTGAATTTGATAGTTTCTGTGCCATAGGTGCTGTTGGAAGCTTAGAAAAGCCTTGGGAGTGTCCTAGGAGCGCTGTTGGAGCTTTAGGAGTGCTGTTGGAAGCTTAGAAAAGCCTTAGGAGTGCTGTTGGATGCTTAGAAAAGCCTTGAGAGTGTCCTACGAGCGCTGTTGGGGCCTTAGGAGTGCTGTTGGAGCCTTAGGAGTGCTGCTTGGGCCTTGAATTTGTCGTTTGGAAGCTGTTTGAGATATAAGATTGCTGCCATTGCTAATTAAGGGTTGTTAGGAGTGTTTGGAAGTTGTAGAAGGTCGTAGGATCGTCGCACAAGCCTGCTAGTTGCTGCCCCGAGCTGTAAGAGCTGCAGGACCGTTGTCCAATGCTTCAATTTGCTGCCCACCTCTGTTCGGGTTCGTAGGAAACCACATAGGTGTTGCTCATTGCTGTTTGGATTCATAGGAATTCATACAGGCATCATTCGAAACTCGTAGCTGCTGTCCGGAGTCGTAGGATCACCGTACACATTCGCTAGTTGCTTACCGGAGTCGTAGAGGATCGTAGGATCACCATACTATCTCGCTAGTTACAGTAAGGAGTTGTAGGAGGCCTTAGGATCACCTCTTTTGGGAATTCCTAACTGTTACTACAACTTGTTCTACTGTTTATTTCTTTTCTTTTCTTTACAATTTATTTAAAATCCCTGCAGATTATATTGTGCTTTGTGAGTTAAAACATGCAACAGGAATAACAGCAGCATATACGTCACGTACGCAGGTACATTTTATTTGTTGATTGTTCTTTTATTTTATTGCAATTACTCTTGCTCTGACACATTATGCAGATACTGAATACAATCTCACTTTCAAAACAAATTTTTTTTTAGAAAAAATTAAACAACATTTTCAAAAAAAAAAAAAAAAAAAAAAATACGTTCTTTTGAAATTACGGGAGTCCCCCGGAATCTTAATCGGTGTCGCTCTAATCAACTTGAACCCACCCATTGACAACCAAACTGAGACATTAAAACACACCTGGTAAAAATGTTTGAACTTTAAACTTTAGGATTGTTACTGCGACGAGGAGCTCGGCGCAACTTTGTGGGCAGCACAACAAGGAGTTTGGCACGAACTACAGGTGAAGGTGGTCGCAATTCTACAACAGCAAAACAAGTCTACACCAACTGAACTTTCCTAGTTTAAACAACCCATAGGATTTCGAGGTAGTTCGCCTAGCGCGACGTATTTCCTCTTTCTCTTTTAGGCTCCTGCACAACTATGTTGTGCAGCGTAAGTCCTAACTCGCCTTAGGTTCCGAGGTTGTCATCTAGGACTCATCTAGAATGATGTAAAATCTCTTATCTTTGCGGGTTATTTGCATAACCAGTTATTATGCAAATGTAAGTCCCAAATACTAAAATTGACAGGATTTAACATTTAAATAAAATTCTCTCTAAAACACAGCCACATAGTAGGATAGTTTGGGAGATCACTGAGGATTCCCCTCTAGATCTGTGACATCCCCTACCTTTTACTTTCTTTGGACTCCTAAAAGGATTGTTCTTACTTGAGCCATTCCCATTTGTTTTTCTACGTCCTACTTTGAATTCTTGAAGACTAGAACCACTGATCATTATCGAGAGTTTTCTCAAGTGATTCCCGTCACTTGGGATGTAATTAACTATAGGGGCTTGCCTCTATAGGGAACTTGGAACCCAGGTAAAATAAACCCTATTTAATCTTTGTATTAAATAGGGGAATTTGTCGGTCATATATAAAAATGTTCGCAGACCAAATGGATGTCACAAATCTCATAGGTTGCAGGATTGGGCATATTATCGGGGTCTACACTTTTCTCTTGGAGTGTGTAGTATTCAGGGTGTCAGGCACGATTATGCAAATTATTGGACTAATGAGATCCATTCGGTCTCATTTTTTTAAAATTAAAACATACTACTTTCAAAACCAAAAATATATATCTATTATATTAAATTAAATTTCAAAAAATTATTTTCATATTCATATTTTCAAATCAATCGAAAAAGTTGACCGACAATAGATCCGATGCATTCCTCATACTTCAACCAATTTGAATCTACTAATAATATTCCCATCTATATCACCATAACTTTGAACAATAGACCCGAGATATCTGAAACATTGACGCATTTTAATGATTTGATCACCCATAGTTACAACTCTGCCATTAGAGCTACTACTAATAAAATTACATTCCATGTAAATATCATTAGCAAAAAACATACACCAAGGTACACCCTCTTGTAAATATCCAGTAAGATCATCTATAACGAAAACAAAAAGATATGGTCTTGAAGCCGATCCCTGATATAATCCAACTGAAATAGGAAAATACTTGAAATTGTTACCTAAAAATGATACCTAAAAATGATTCTACACCAAAATTTGCCAATCAAGTGGGTAGATTTATAGAACAAGTGATGATCATGATGG